CATCAAATAGATTTTTAAGTCTGGGACTTTTTCTCTGTCCTCCTTTTCAGTTAATATGTTATTCTTGATTTCCAAGAGCACCTCATTCTCAGTTTCTCAGGAGCTTTTCTTTTCCATTCTGGCTGGATTATGTATAAAGGTGTAACCTAACATAGTGAGAGCCACCCTATGTTAGGTTAGACTCTCCTGTGTCTCTCTTTCTAAGAGTTCTCTTTTATTAAATCCCAGAAGACCTATGGCTGTAATCCTGGCTGCTTTCCATTTTTGGACTTTTGATGCATAGCAATGCACAGACAAGCAGGTGTATTCCTTTGGGTCTGTCACCCAGGCAGAGAGACCATAGAGGGGTACCTGGCATAAACCTGCAGAAAGACTTAAATCCAGTTAAGCAGTAGTCTCTATGAAGAATGAGAACAACTAATTTTTGAACAAGCTTTTTTAAAATAGAGATTAACTTACAAAATGTGAAAGAGAAACTTTGGGAGAGAAATGGAACATTATTGAACTGAAATACAGCTTCTTGAGCAGATTATAGTAGAAAATTGTTGCATTGAGAGAATGTTGGTTTATTTGGGTATTTTCCTTCTTTTTTTCTTCTGAGCCTACATTCCCACATAGTAAAAGTTTTGATACTGATATCTTCAGTATTCCTCCTGCTTTTTTAGGTGGCTCATGGCTATTCTTTCTGAACACATTTTCACCCTGCACTGAAGTCTTCCTCCTAGCTTTTACTTGTCCAGAGATTTTCTGAGCATGCTTCAGTAGTTTGTAGCAATCCTTTTACATCTGTGGAGTTATAATGTCTAATATTGCAGTATGAAAAGGGAAGTAAAGCTTCTGCTAGAACTTGATGTCTGCAGCTTCTATTTTTGTCAGTATTGCTGGAAGGGAGACCCCTGTTCCAGCCTGTTTCTAGAGCCAGCTTCTCATTCACACTATTAGGGATGTTGATGTTGTTGTTGATGACAATAACTTCTTCCAAGGTAGGAGGCCCAGTGCTTTCAGTGACCTCTTCTTTGTCAAGGTTCTTGCTTCTCCTGTCACCTTTAGTGTCACTGTCAATTGTGTGCAAGAAATGGCCAAAATGGTTTTGAGAATCTTGGCTAAATCCATTCAGCTGCCTCACTTGTAAGGCCATTAAGTCTGTACCACAAAAATGGTTCTTCCTTCACTCCTCATTCAGGTAACATCCCAACCTCATCTGTGAGGTAAAAAAAGAAATGGTACCTTGGCCCACTTATTCTTGAGCTGTGTGTAAAGGTGTGACTGTCTGAAGAGTTTAAAATTGGAGAGCTGGGTGTATGGCATAAGTTTTAGCAGCTCACCTGCTGTCTCAGGATCAAATGGCATAATGTTTTCAGTGAGTCAGTTGCTCTTGATAAGCACAGTGTTTTAGAAGTATTTTCTCATCTTTTGGCTGAGATAATAAAATTTAACAAATCAGTAGAAAAAGGAACTGGTTTAAAATAAACATTCATCAGTACATGAAGAAAGAAAAGGGACTTAGGCTGGTATAAATCCCATTATATTATTCTAGCACAGGAAAATGTATTTGGGGAGTGAAGATTTGACATATATTTTTATTTTCAAGCATCATACTAATTTATATTACTCAGCCCTTTAACTGCCAAACTGTAAAAGTCCATTACACTACTGAAAGGAATATACAAATTATCCCCTGGCACTTTAGGCAGGAGTTTTACATATATGCTGTTATTCTATCAGCCAGCTAGCTGCACGATTCTATTAAGGAGTAAGTGAGAAAATTATATTGCCTGCAAACTAATTGTACAAAAGACTCTGAAATAAGTAATCAGAGCCCAGTTCTTTCTGAAAACCAGCCAGGAGATATTATAAATAGCTCAATCGCTCTTGTCAGCCCAGTTTAAAGACCCAGAGCTGCCATGTTGATTTTATTCACTGTATAACACAACTTCCTCTCCAGCTGTTGACAGGACTGGGCAAACTCAGCTTCTACTCTTCCTATCTTCTCAGTTTCAGCCTCTAGCATCTTGAAGTAAGCAAGGAATTGGTAGAGCTTCCTTCTGGATCTTTCTCTGAAATAAAATGGCAGATCTGAGTATCTGGAATGGAAAGTCATATCTAGAAATAAATAAGAAATTGTGAGAGCTCTAATGACCTGGAATGTGCAGTAAGTTCAGGTTTTTAACAAAAATAAATCTACTAATACTTGGAATGCTAGGTAAAATGCATTTTAGTATGATACAGATATCCATTGCATCTACATGTGAACTGGAGTCAAAACGTTAGCTCCTTGAGCTGTTACTGCAGTGTAGCCATGTTCTAAAATGCTGGAACACTTTATGGGGACTGTGGTCCTTGGTAAGTTTTAGATCTTTGTTGTTTCTGTTGCTGTAACTCTTCTGAGCTCATTGGAGGAATTCTTTGCAGCATCTCCCAAGTTCATTTTCTGACACCGAAAGTGAAGATTGAGCATCTGCTGTAAAATACAATTCATTAAAGAAAAGCAGTTTAAATTGAAAGGAGATTCCCCCTGTAAGCTAAAGTACTGGAATCTAAGTGACTAGAATAATAGCTCCTTTTAACATACTTTAGGTGTCAAGAATTTGCAGGAAAAGTAAGTTACGCTGTGCCTGCTGTAGACTGTTGCATAGTTTGCAGAAATGTGAAATGTCAGGGTATGGATTAGAAGTGTCTGCATAATGAAATGAGCAGTCTTGCATTTATCTTTCTGGTTGTGAATGCTGCTTTTTGGTGTTGGCAGCTGTACCTTTGTCTCTCTGGACAGGAGCTCTTGCTACAGTGGGAGTGTTCCACCTGCCCTGGTACAGAGCTTTGCTTCCTAAAGTTCTCTTTTACAATCTTGATCTTGTTTTTGATCAAGATCGTTTCTGACCTTGTGCAAAGGAATCTTTGATCTTGTGCAAAGTATTTCTGATTCCATTTGTTTTAAACAGGGGTAATACATTGAATACATTTATTATTGTAGTATAATGAAGTTCATTAGAAACAGTTTGTGAAAGCTTTGAAAGTCTTCCTATGCAGTGGTTGCACCTTTCTAAGAATGTCTTGTTAGAGTGAGAGGATAATGTGAATCCTTTTTTTAAGCTTGCCCTTGCCATAATTTTCTACCTACCCTTCCAAAACTGTTATATCCTAACTTTTCTAATGTGCATTGGAAAGACATTTTGTAGGAACTGTTGTGCTGAATTCCCTACCCACCATATCCTTCAGTTTCTTAAATAGCTTTCTCCACAGCAGCTAAGAAAGGGGAAGGGGACTAAACTGCTTTGACTTTTGTCATTAGCATTCAGGCATAGCAAGATCTGCTTTACTCACCAGCATTGCTAACTCACTCATGCAGCAATGTCCAGGAGGAAGAAATCCTGCAAAAGCTTGAAAAGGTTGTGCCAAATATGCTGGTTGTGTTGGCAGAGTACAGATATTGTCATGCAGACCTCCTTTATCATAAATACTTAACCAATTTTCAATAGATGTAAGTGGTTTAAGTATTACTTCCTGTTGAATTAGCAGTTGCTGAGCATTTGAGTCTTTGTGCAATCCTGCAATCCACTAATGTGATATTTAATGAGGAGACATCAGTCTGAAGAAAGGTAGTCAATATAAATCAGTGTTTACAAAGTGTGATTAACTCTGAAATATTTCATCAATGCTGTGGTCCCAGGCAGCCTCTATGCTAATTATTAGAACCTGTGCATGTTTCAGGGGACTTTGATGGACCCTGAGTGCAGCAAACATGGAGCAGCAAAATTGCGATTATGCTTGGACTGTCTCTGATGACAATTTATGCATTTGGTGTGATGACCTCGTGCTTCCCAAGAGGGCAATAAGCAGAATGCATTTTCATTAAGATACTAATGCACTTAATCACAGGGGGAAAGGGTTAGAAAATAAAGAAATACCTTTAAAGCAAGATGTGACAGACTGATCAGGAAGATACTTTATTTAAAAGTCAGTTTCTCAGTGTAACTTCTGACTACTGCAAAGTCTGTCATACTGGATGTAGTCATGGGCAATAGGATGCATGGCTGGGCAGATGAATAAGCTGAGCTAAGCTGTTTCATGAAAAGTGCAGTGGTACTAGGGCAAAAGAGAACACATGTTCTCCCCTTTGGACTTGGATACCCAAAGATTTGATTTTTAAAAAGTAAACTACTCATGTATTTGACTAGCTCATTTATTCATTTAAGGTTTTATTTTCTTATTTTTGAGGAGAAATAACATGTATTAAGCAGTAACAAAAAAAGTAAGAAGAGACTGCTTTGCCCAGGAGGGCTCGCATTTAAGGATTGAGCTTGTTGCAGGCCTTAAGAGGGGAATTGGGAGAAGCAGGGGCAAAGGCAAGCATCCTTCTCAAATGTTGTTATTCTCACAGCTTGGCAGGAATGATCCTATTCCTGATGCCTCTCAGTACAAGAGCTTGGTCTAAAGTATAGAGAAGAGGAGATGTTTTGGAGCAGAGGTCTGGCCTGGCAGCTGTAGGTGTGCTGGATGTGGTGGTAACAGTCCTGGGAAACCCTGCCTGATGATCTGTGCCAGCTGTAGTGGAAGAAGAAGGGTGAAAATCCATGGTACCTGTTATAGTTGATTATGCAGTAATTGGCTAAAAAGGAAAAGGAAGAGTGCTCAGATAAGGAGCCTGAGCCTATGACTTGGTACAGAAAATAAATGACAAAATGTCTTTCTTGTACCAGCAGGAATAACATATATGAAGGATTTTACTAGGGACCATATTTGGAGTGAGACAGACTGACATTAATTGTGGTTTTGCATATGTTTCTTTCATATAGATACCTAGATTAAAAAAAAAAAAGAGCAAAAAAACTTCATCTTTTACCTCAGCTATTTATTTTTACTTGAAAGGCGTTTCCTTTCTGTAGCACTGCTTACTTTATTCCAAAATTAAATACAAAGGCGATTGTATGAGTACTTTTGTGTGTGTGTTGTGTTGATTAGGCAGTGAGTCTGAACTTCTCTTCCCGTCTGTTCCATCACAGGTAACATAGAGTACAGCTGCCCAGCAACGAATGAATGTGAAATCACAAAGCGCAGACGCAAGTCCTGCCAAGCCTGCCGCTTCATGAAGTGTCTAAAAGTTGGCATGCTGAAAGAAGGTAAGACTAACTACCTCAATCTGTATCTCTCTGCAAACACTTGCTACAACTGTAGGGCAATCAGGAAAGAAGAGAGACTGGTGAGTGTTCTAATCAGTTATTGCAAAGACAATTTTCATATATACTTGCTCTTTCTGACATCTGCTTCTAAGCTATCGGATCATGCTTTATCCACATAGAGTTCATCATCTTGTGTAGTGCAGAAAAATGTACCTCAGCATTCAATCTCCTTCAGTAAGTAACTGATAGAATAACCATCAGAATTCTCAAGGATTTCTTTCCTCCATTCCACTGTTACTGTGTCCCAGTTCTGGCAGAAAACCAAAACATGCACTGTGCCTTCTTTTCCCTGCTTTTATTCAGTCTTCATTCCATCAGGACGAACGAAAGGATTACTTCTAAATTGAATAAGTATTGTGTGTGTTTGTGTGTGTACTGAAGTTACTGTAACTACACTGGAGCAAATTATGGCATGCAGAAGAGGAGAATCCACCCCTCCCCTTTTTTTCCATAAAAGTGTCTGAGAACCCTTCCCCTCACTGTAAGTATATATTGAATGTTTTCATGAATCAGTTACATTTTGAAGATACTGAATGCAAGGAAATGTACTCAAGGAATGGTGCTGTCTTACCTGGAACCTACTTCATCTATATTACACATGGAGATGATTCCTCAAATACACTGCTGTAATGTATATGCAAGAATATACTTCTAAGTGCATGTATTATATGCATTATTTTTTTAGAGCACTGTCACCATCAAGAAAGATGCCATGGACTTCTGAGCTAGATAAACATTTGAAATAAAATCAATATAATGTTCTCTAAGTATTATATCCAGTGGAGAGTACCTTGTGTTAAGCAACGGCTTCAAAACAATCCTATGCAATTTGGCTTTGTCAGTGCTTGAAAACTCAGCTTTAATAGCTGGCTGATTTTTGCAAATGGTTTGGTGGTAATGTAAAACCTGTTAAGTATGCAGCTATCAGGGTAAAAATCCAAGAAGCAGCATAGACCAGTGGTGAGATGATGGGCAAATTAGGCCTATCACGCACCTACAGACATATTCTTATTGGATTATACTTACTAAGAATAAACCTTGTTCTGTGCAACTGCTTTGGCAGATGCTATGAGCCTGTGAGCCAAATCCTGCTGTCCTTAGTCTTACTTGAGCAAAACTCCTGTCAGATTCGATGGAGATTTTGCGTCAGTAAGAACGGCAGGATTTGACCCTCTCTTCAATGGTGATGGGAGAGTTCTTACTTGCCAAAATCCTCACATAACTGACCACTAGGAGCAGCTACTTGAAAGTGAAATCATGATGCTTAGGTAAACTAAAAGTAAAATGAAAGGAATGACTGGGTATGGCACCTTTTGAAATGGACTGTGCTTCTTAGCATGTTTTTTTAGTGAGTTAAGACCCTGTATCACTATTAACTTAATATACAGATATATTGAGCAACTTTGAAAATGAAACAGTGCTTCCAAGAGCACATGCAGGTGAATTGATTTAATTCTTTTCCTCTAAATTTTGAGGGCACTACTGTGCATCCATTAACATAATATTTTAAAAAATCTAGGCTGTGTGCAGCTTCTGTGACTCCAAGAGGAAGTTAAGTGTCTCCTTTACAAATGAGTAATTATCTCAGCAAATTTGTGTGCAGATTTACAGTTTCTGCATACAATTTTGTTAACTGAGATAATTCAGTTACATAATACAGATGTACATTGTGAGTAATATTTTTTGTTTGAATGTTCATTGTCCATGGATTCAAATCATTCCCACAAGTTTTCTTAATAAGCATAAATTTTCTACTCTAAAAGTACATACCTTTTTCTAAATGGCAAAATAACTAATTGTTTTGAAAAGACAGTGTTGCTTATTTGCCACCTATTATGAGAACTTACAAGAACCTATAAGAGCATTTTATTTTTTTCCCCCCTTTAGTGGCTGCTTTTTAAACCATACCCATTCACAGTACATTTGTAAGACGGTACTTGTAAAGATTTTTTTTTTCTTCTTGTTGGAGGGTGGTTTTGGAGCTGGGTATTGTTTTTGCCTATGGAAAAGTCTGGAGATGACTTTTTGACTTGGAGCACATTATTTATGTATAGAATTAAGAAAGATAATATACCGACTTCTTTCATAAGTGGTATAAATTTATTGATTAGCGTGGACTTAAAATAAGATGAAATTATTCTTGTTGTATCTCAAGTGTTTCTTTATGTACAGACAAGGATTTCAGTCCCATGCAGCATGTCAGAGATCATGCTGCAGTAAATCTATTCAAATGTAAACCTGTTCAATTCAATTACCAGTTTATAATAAAATTTGCTGCTGCAGCCTCCACGTTTGTCACAGCAGTCTCTACATGCTGATGGCACAGCATGCCTGGAAATTGACAGCCTAAATCTATTTACAAAAAAAATTTAGTTGCAGACCTGAAATAAAATCAAGTTTAAGCAGCTTTGAGGGGAGCATCACATTCCTTACAAGAGCAGCACATCTGCCAGGGTGCATCTTCTCCAGAAATCTTACCTGATTTGCAGGGCATTTTCTTGTAGGAATTTATCCTTAACAAACAGTTTTTTAAGTGTAATCTAAAGTGAAACAATTGCCAGACGTTGTGCTTCCCTTCACATTTGAAGGGACTTTACTATATGGTAATTTTGTGAGTTGTCATATAAATTTCATTATAGAAATCACAGTGCCTGGAAAAAGATTCTGAGTTTTAGCTTGGCTTCTAGGGCAAGGTCTGAAAGCCACTTATAGCAAAAGTGTAGAGTGGCTTCCCTTATGACATCTGCATGTTGAATCATTTATGTGACAAGATAATGGTGTTTTTCATCAAGCATCCAGTGTTTCTGTGGGAGACCTGGTGTTAGGGTTGTGTGGCTGGGGTCAAATCCTGGGAGGGAATTGCATTTCTGGTCACGTGTAGTACAAGGTGGAGCAGGGATATTCTGTGTGTATTCTCACGGATGTCGCTGGGACTTAACCAGCAGCACCTCAATCAAGATTCTTAATAATTTGTTAGATGTGAGCCAGGAGCCAGAGAAGGAATGCTACAGCAGTGCTGGGCTAGGCTGGAGTGGGATTGAGGTCCTGGCTGCATCTCTTGTTGAGTATCATAAGAAATTTTTACAGACTGATCTGGAGGAACACATCATTTTGGTTTAGCCCATGGACTGTTAACTTGAAAACATGTCTGGGTCTATGGACGGGTTTTGAGTATGTTATACTTCACACTGTAGCATTCAGCAGAGCCTGATGAGCTTTAGGCACAGGACAAATATGAGGGTCATTTACTTTTCTAGGTAAAGGTTATTAGCAGCAAAGCAGAATACACTGCACTCGAACAAAAATTACATTTTTCTATATTTAATTTTGTGTCTTGGTGTTACAAAAAAACCAGATTTTCAAGTATCATAATTGGTTCTTCTATGGAAATGCAATTTCTTTGACTGCACTTATATTTTGTTGGATTGTCTCAGATTCATGAGAGCAAATGAAACAACATTAAAGATTCTTGTATACTCTAGGGAGAAACTTTTCAAATGTATCCCGAGAGATTTCTTGAAATAATATTGCAATTGCTGAAAGGGTGCAGGGAGACATGTACAACAATTTGCCCTTTTTAAAAATGAACATTTTTAAGACATTCAGTAGTTTTCAGTTCTGTTGGTTTATAACTTGTCTTTTAAGTTTGGCCTTTCAAACTCTTTGGAAGCCAGTGATTAGTTTGCTTCAGGTGGTAGAATTAAATCTGTGTTCATGTGCAAGACTGGGTATTTTGGCTATTTCCCTTTTTATACAGCTTGTTCGATTGTGAAAAAAGGGTTGATTTTTTTAATTTTCTAAGAAGAAAAATTGAATGTAAAACTACAGAAGATGATATGGGGAATCTTAAGTAGATATTTGACTTGGTTTTTTTTTTCTATTGCTAGGTGATCTAGGTGAGTAGAATTCAACATTTAGTCTTTAATTAGTACTATATGCCTATTAATAATATTTATAGGACTATTTACTTTTATGTTTGTGATAGAAGATATTATTCCAAGTTTATTATAGGACAGATCGTGTTCTGAAGAGCCTCCCATGTGAAATAATTTCAGTGGAGTAATTATTAAAAAAAAATTACTTTTTGTTTCAGATGCTACATTTGTGTAACTGTTTTTACGAGAGGTTATTCTATATGCTTTTGTTTTCTCCACAGAGGCAAAGCCTTAGCCTTAGCCTGCCCCTGTATTGTAGTTCAGAGAGGAATCTGTTGAGTGGCACTAATGCAGCTTTAGACCATCTGGAATACTGTATCCTGTTTTAGCTCTCACAGTTCTGTGCAGTACTAGTTTGTATTTCTTACAGGACTGTTGATACCAAAACATCTCTCATGTATCTCTCATTTCTGATATTTGGGTGTTTTCAGAATTTGTTATGGGCTGTGTGCAGTGGCTGATCTGCATTGCTTGTTATTTCAGAAAATATTTCCTAAATGAGTGATACATAGAAAATAAATCCAAGTTTATATGAAAAGTAAAGCATACTACAATAAAAGGGCATGGTTTACTTCATACAAGTATGTTTGTGTTTTCCTTAGGAATAGATGGCATTTACAAATTATCATCAGTCACTTGGTACCCAGTTAGAATAGGCAGAGTAACAAAATTCCAGCTTAATTAGTCCTGCTATTACAAATGAGAGGCCAGATCCTCACCAAGCATTAATGGAATCTCTTGAAGCTGTGTTAGATTGCTGCTCATTTGGCAGGTTTAGCAATCTGTGCTGTGGGGAAATCAGCAATATACTTTTTGTGTCTGTGTATCTTCAGAGTTGCTCCTACATAAGCCATCATTCAGGCTCTAAAAATTAACAGAAACTCTCTGAGCTCTTCGTCTGGTGGTGCTGATTTGATGTATAACCCCATCACAACAGAGCAGTTTGCAAGTTGTACTTGCACTCCTCGATGAGTAGCCCTTAACACCTCTCTCTCATCAGTTTGC